CTGTTGACTTTGTGGTTTGTAATAATAAATATCCTCCCCGTAATATCTTGCTCTATTTTTTTCTAAACTTGATGCCTTGAGGAGGTATTGAAGCTTGTGATAAAATGCTATCAGTATTTACCTATTTTGTCGCTAGTCTGAATTTCCTTTTCTCCCTGGGCAAAGTCATTTAAAGATATGATATTTGCAAGCAAAAGCTCTTAGAAATACCACCCTTGATTTCACAAATGCCTTACGGAAATATGATGTCCTACTGTACTTGATCACTGAAGCAAAACTAAATCTGCTTGTATAAAATAATGGCACTATTTTGTAGCGAAGTGTTCGCTCTTTCACCAAGGAAAAACCTTGTAATCAGATGTGAAGGTTATAAAAGATGCAGTCTGCAACTCCAAGGTGTCTTATTATCACCAATCAAGGTAATAATTAAAACCAGATTCTTATAAGAAGGGGGTAGGCATTTAGAGGGCTTCACAAAGTGCTGAACTTCATGCACATAATAAGCAGTGCAAAGTACTTTTACTTTATTGAGAAGATGCTGAAAGTGACTGAAACCAAGGTGTAATCTTGCATATACAAGTATCTTACTTTGTTATGCTGTTTCCATGCAACAGAAAAAAAATTACTTGTCTACTCTCATATATATTAAGGAGGGGTTGGTTGGTTTCTTTGTTTTTATCTTTTTTCCCCCACAGAATTTTCACAAATGCTCATTTAGGAGCAAAACATTGAGATAAAGACAACATCCTCTATATGTTCAAGGTTCCAGCTCCCTAAAAGCTCTTCAGCAAACTGCAGTAACATTTCACATTTAAGACACCACAGTCTTCCTTTAACTCATTCTTGCTGGTCTTTATTTATTCATAAGTCTGTCAAGTGAATTCCGTAGATTATCAAGCAAAACATGCACATCACAAATATCCTTTCACTTAAAAAGACAGTATCAATCTTCATAAATGCCACCAAGTACTCACAAGAACAAATTAAATCAAAGCATGCTTACACACCTAAATGTGTATTTCCCTCTACTGTGTGCACCTTGTGTGCTGTAAGGCATAGGTGGCTAATGGTCTGCTGACAATTGATCCTTTTTAGACAGAGAAAGCAAGAAACAATTGGGTTATTCATAAGACCAAAAATACACTATCTGCTTCACATACATACCCAGTTCAACTTAAATTGTGAACAGATGGGAAGTAAGAGATTCCCTCATATTTCAGATTCACCACATTCTTCAGTATTTTTCTAAATTAATAAAAATATACTTTTTATAAATCAAAATTTTTGCAATTATAAACTATTTTCAAGCAGATAATCCAGTGATTGTTCTTTAGCTTATTGACTTGATTCCCTTTGCCACCCCATTTATTGTGGCATTATTCTTACTTGACAGCAATTCACTACTGCCATCATTTGTAGAGAGTTAGTTTTCCCTTATGAAACCTATTTCATTAATTTTATTTTCAGTGTTTATAAAGATTATTTCATACCTGTGTATTTGCTAGACATGACTGCTCCTTTCCTCCTACAACTGTGGTACTTTTTACTTCTCCAGAGCTTTAAACAGATGTTGCTGGAAAGTTGTCCAATCTGCAAGGTTAATATGAGATATGCAGTATAAAAGAGATTCTTACACTTTTACACATAAATAAGGGATTTTATTTGAAACGAAACATGAAAATGAATTTCAGGATCACAGTACAGGAGGGAACCTCCAGCATCTTACAGCCACAGCATTTCCACTGCTCCTCTTCATCTTCTTTATCCTCTTCTCTAGGGCCGTCTTCATTTATTCCTATAATTTCTAACTCCTTATTCTTCTCCACAAATTTTACTCTCATACCTTTTTCTGATGGCCACTGGCCGGCCACTGGCCCTCCCCTGGCCCTTTCTGCTTCACCTTCTTCCCAGCATCTCTTATTTGGTGCCTCTGGCATGAGTTGCCATCGCATCCCCACCCTAGAGAGTGCACTCCAATTTCCAAGAGCCATAACTAATGAATGCAATTAGAAATAACATGATCACACACACACACACACACACGCACACAGAGCCATGCATTTAAACACAGCCATAACACTTAGCCCGTGTCACTGCTGATTCAGGCGTTGAGCTGAACTGCAGCCTGAGCTTCTCTAGGGTCTGCTGTTTGCTCCCTGCTTTTTCCTTTCTATCCCCCTCTTAAATCAGCCTCTCTCAGTATGACGAAGTAAAAAATCGTGCAGTCCTTGGAGCACAACCTCACAAACTCTTACGTGAGCAAGTGATTTGATTTTGGTACAGCTCCTCCAGGTTAAAGTAAAGCTTTGCAGAATTTGGAAGGTGGCCAATTGCTGAGGCCCCAAAGACACTTCTCATCACCTTATTTTACGTGTAGAGTGCTGTGCATTTCATACAGCAATATGTTTATATAGCCTTTGATCATTTATCTTTCTCAGGCCTCTGTAATTTTCAACTTAACAGCTTCATTCTTTGCTACATATGGCCTCATTTAATTTCCTTATATCTGCAGAGGAGAAATTAGACAGGCCCAGAGTAGATCAAACAGTACTGAATTTGGGTCATTATCCACAAAGCATCACAAGACAATCTGCCAGTTGGTAAGGGTCTCTGCATAGCAGACTTTTCATTCGAACACCTGAACATGTTTAGGTTTAAGCAGACCGAACCTACTCAACTGGTTTAAATGAACTATATGCTTAAATACTCCAGTGAACCAATGCTAGATTTTCTTATCTATATCTTTAAAAACAAACACTCCCTCCCTTCCTTCTTCCTTTTTTCTAAGTACAGCTCCTGAACACTAAACACCAGTTTTGCTGCTGTTAATCTGCTTTTTTTATCATTCATTTTTATACTTTTTTTTTGAAGATGCTCAGTTTCAAATTAATACAGGATATTGTATCATCCTTCCAAACCAGTCTTTGTGTCCCTCTTTTTTTCAGTATCCAACAAACAGAAAACATACAGTCTCTGCTTTTGTTTGCTACTGATATCTGCATGTAGTCACTAAGAAAGTTTATTTTTTTCTGTCTGATTGATTTTTAAAGTTTGTCTACAGCATAAAGTACTAAGATATTCTTTTTACATTTTAGTTTATGAATAGATCCTGAAAGAGGACAGAAACTGAAAGAAACACTGACCTTTAAACATTACTAATTCAAAAGATGAATTCAAGGGCTCCTCTTATCCTATCACTACTACTAAAAAGATCCAAATCAAGTTATATAATAGCATTGCAGCATTGGGGTTTGGAGCACAAAAAAAGTCTTGGTGAGCAATAGCTCAGACATACTTTATTTATTGCAACCATGAAGCCTATTACAGACATCTTTGTTTACCTCATCACAATTAAACATTCATGAGGAAATATTGTGGAAAAATGCATTTCTGGTCTCATAGCTAATTAGCACAATTTAAGAGTACCCCATAGTTAAGCTGCCCAACCACTCTCTCAAGGAAAGTGGGGAACTGAATCGAAATTATAAGTGCTCTCCTCCCCTTCAGCTGTGCATTCTCAAAACCAGGATTTCAGTTTTGCTTCCCTGCCCATATCTGACTGATCTGACCTAACAAAGAGTACAGACATACAGGAATAAACTTGTAAAGTGTATTTTATTTAGTTTGCCTCATAGTGATCACTAAACTTCTACAGTGTCTATGTCATCACATGATCTGGATTTCAGTCTAGAACAATCACTGTAAAAAAAAAACAACTAAAGAGACACATGAAAAATAATGAAAACTTGCTATTTACAACAAAATCAGTATTTTCAGAAAATCAAGAAATACTGACACCAAATAGAAAATCTGTACCTTCCTATATTCACATACATCTTTACACTGCTATTATAATATTCTAATAGATTGTTTTTCCATGCAAGGTTATAAAAGTATGGTTTATTAGGCTACTGCTACCATAAACTTACAATTGTTCCTTGGGTTTAATTTATACCTAGCTATCAAAATGCATTACTACATTCCAGTCACTTCTTTTTTTCCTTGCAAATTTACATACCGCCCCCCCCCCCATTTCAAAGTAATCGAAGGTATATCTAGCCAGTATTCAAACCAATAACTCCCTTTTTAAAAATTATTTTCTAAGGTCATAATGTGTAGGGAGGTAATTGCCAGTGGTGAAACCTCAGCTTACCTTATAAACCACCTTATTAAAAATTAATTGTAATTAGACATTGGAACCCAAGAAAATTATTATTCCTTCTTCCATACTGCTACATCTTGTGCACGGTGGTGGCTGTGACCCTCAAGACAAAGGCTTATCTTAGAAAACGAATGTGTAATCAGTTCCCCAGACGCTGCAACAGCTCGGGGTGAGGGCCCAAGACTGGGATGGAACTTAATAAAGAAATCCTGAGCCCCCCGGTGCGTGTATTCACGGCAGGCACCGACCCCAGCGCCCGAATCCCCACGGCAGCATCGCTGAATTTCCGTAGGACCTGTGCCATCACACGGTCTGGATTCCAGCCTAGAACAGGCCGTGAAAAGTAACCAAAGGGACACAGGGAAAAAAAAAAAAAAACCAAACAAAACAAAACAGTGAAAACTTGTTACTTGCAACGAAACCTGTGCTCTCGGAAAAAAACAAACGGCGAACTCGAAGAGCGCCACATTGCTGAACTGAATCAATTTATTTATTTATTTATTTAATAATAATTACACGCGAATACCTCCCCCCCACCCCCCCCACCCCATTTCAGCGGTGGATGCCAGGACACCCCCACCCCCGGACTGGGGGAGGTTCCCGGGTGCCGGGACTGTCCCGGGGCGCCTCTCCCGCTGCTCGGGGCTGGAGGGGGAGAAGTGAAACCTCTGCCGCATCCCTGTCAAGGACTCTACCCGGGCGGGGGGAGAAGCGAAGGAGCCGGACCATCCCCGGCTCGGAGCGTCTCCCCATCCCCGCACCCTGCGAGGGGAGGCGGGGGCAGCCCCGGCCCGGCCCAGCCCAGCCCCGGCCCCGGCCCGGCCCGCCCCTCGGCGCGGCAGAGGCGGAGCCGGGCGGGCGTTCGTGGCCCGGCCGCTTCCTGGTCACCGCAGGAGGAGGAGGAGGAGGCGGCAGGAGCCGGCTGCGGGGGTGCTGTTGCCACCATGGCCTCGCTCTTCAAGAAGAAGACCGTGGACGGTGAGTGGGTGCCCCGGGGGAGGCCCTGCGGGCCCCCGGGCAGCGGCCGATCCTCATCCCGATCCCCATCCCGGCCCCTCGCACGGCCCCGGGCACCGGGCTGGTCCCGGCCGGGACTCGGGGGCAGCGGGAGCCCCGCGGGGATCGCGGCTTTGGGCCCCGCGTCCCGGGAAACTCGCAGGGAGAGGAGGAGGAAGAGGAAGATGAGGAGGAGGAGGAGCAGGAGGCCACGGCCCGCCGGCGGTGACTCACTGGCGGCGCTCGGGGAGAGTCCCCGGGCCGGGCCGGCCCTGGCACGGCGGGGAGGGGTGTTCCTGAGGCATCGGGAGGGCTGGGAGCGGGGCCCCGGCGATCCCGGGCTGTGGGCGAGGGAGGAGGAGCGAGGGAGCAGAGCAGGCCCGCCGGGAGTTGCCGGGGCCCGGCGGGGAGCGGGACGCGGTGCCGCGGGGAGGGGTCCAGGCTCCGGCGCCGGGAGCCGCCCCCGCTGGGCCCCTGGGGGCTGGAAACAAGTTGGTGGTGATGTCCTTGTAGCCAGGCTGTCATCAGAACGCTAAAACTTGAGCGGAAATAACGATCTCCAGTATAATGCCAGCAAGTCCTGCGGGCGACCCTCAGCGCTCCAAGTGGCTGTGCCCCAGGGGTGGCGGGGGCTGGGGAGCCCCCAGGTCCGGCTTGTCTGGCATGTTGGGTACCCTGGGTCGCCTCTGCTGGTCGGCGTTTTAAAAAGGGCTCGCCCAAAACGACGCTGTGCATCAACCAATTGTGTGTCACCGAGGGAGAACACGTAGGGCTCCCACTTGTCTCTTCCCATCTTTGGTGCGACACCTGAGGAGGGAGGGAGGGAGGGAGGGGGGAGTTGGCTCTGAGCTTCCATGAGCAAGGCAGAAAGTAGGAGGGGGAGACAGCACTAAGCTGCCGTGACCAAGGCAGATTGTAGAAACCGGGTCAAGCCCTTCCTGGATGTCTCTTGTCCAACCTGTTTTAAGGAATGGAGGTGCTTCCTCCTTGCCTTGGTGTGCAAGACACACAGGAATGCCTGTTGGCAAAAGACTGGCTTGGGAGCACCCCATCATCTTCTATCTGCTCAAGCAAAGCTGGGAATTTGCTTCAGTTATCAGAGAGGAACAACAACCAAGTTCCCATCTTGGCCTTCACTTCTATAAACAAATATAAGGAACTGTAGCTGCAGATAGGAGTTGTTGTCAGTTTATTGCTGTCCATAGTTTGAACCACTCTGTGGGACCAGAAACCACGGACATAAATATCATGCTCATCCTCATTGTCTCCTGACTTAAGTACAGTTCTTGTTTCTTACCATCGTGAAGTTCCTACCTCTCAAGCTTTCTGCACTAAGGGATTTTAATTTTTAATAGTTAGTGTAGTTAGAAAAGCCAATCTGGTATGTAGCTATTAGGCTTTTTCTTTAAATTTTGCAAGTGCAGCTGTGATAGCAATATACATTTATCTACCTTCAAAATTACTTGCCTGTAGCGTTGTTTCCAGAATGATTTCCACTGCTGCTTTGTCAGTGTTATAGAAGAAGAACAGTGTTATAATCCATGTCATCTTTCAGTTCTTTGTTATTGTCTATTAAAAAGTCTGCATCTCCTAAAGATGCTTTTTGTGTAGCACTAAGAGTAGTGGTAGCACTGTAAAAATAGCTCTCTTTTTCACAGCATTTGTTTGCAATCGGTATTTATGTGCCCAAGAGCAATTGGTTGGAGGAGGTAGTGTGTATTCTGTCTTTAAAATGCTGCTGAAGGTTTGGTTTGGTTTTTTTCTGATTCAAACCTACTAATATTGAAATAATTTCAGCAATGGATGTTTTTCAGTATTTCTGAATGTGGGAATGAAGAACGTGAACGCTTCTTTCTGTTTGTGGGGAAAATTGCCCCAAGCCTTAAAAAATGAAAAGGGTGGCCTGTGGTTCTAGAGTTTGTCCTTCATGCCTTCATCTCTATTATTAACTCTGCCTGTATGTATTTGCTTTTCACGTGCTTCAAACTTTGTAAGTAAAATAGCGGTGCCCTACCATGATGTTTTTTCTGTGGATTAGAAGAAAGAGCTCTAAACAAAGTTTGTGTGACAGTTCATGGTCCTCTCCAACTCTCACCCAAAGTTGTGTAGTGTTGTGTGGAGGAGAGGAATCTCTCTCTTAAATGCACTAACTTCTTTCCTCCATAAAGGTCAGAGGATGCTGAGTCAGATGCAGACCTACCTCTCTGCCTTTGCCCAGGTGAATCACACCTCAGTAGACATTCTAAATTCTAACAGAATTACAGTGAGTTAGTGTTGAACTCACAGAAAAGCGTCTGTACTGAACTCTTCCTGAGGGGTTAAGATTCTTGTTGTGGTTATGGTACAAAGAAGCATCCCAAGTAAATTAGCTTTATTTATTTATTTATTTATCTTACAGGATATGGCCTATGCTGCTGAAACACAATTATGCTGTATCCATAAAATTGTATTTTGGCAATATTTCATGTATCTGAAATGCTGACAGTTCTATGCTAGCTGACAGTTCACTCTGAACAGAGAGAGGCTGTCAAAGATGCTGCATGTCTGCAGGGTGCTCGGCAGATGTTTATGTGGTATTGAAAACTTCTCCCTATCAATATTTTCTTTCCAGATATAATAAAGGAGCAAAATCGAGAGTTAAGAGGTACACAGAGGGCTATAACCAGAGACAGAGCAGCACTTGAGAAACAGGAAAAACAACTGGTAAGTAGAGCAGGGAACTTTATTTTGCCCTTGAAAACGAGCATACACACATGATATAAGGGAAAACTTGCAAAGTGTAAAGATGCAACTCAGCGTAGAGTACTGCAATACCAAAAAGCTTGTCTTCCCCTTTTCAGTTAGTGATTTTTTTTCCAACGTAATTTTTATATTAGAAAGTGATTCTCTGTCTTTGATGCAGGATAATCCTGAAACAATGTTTAGATAAAATAACCACGTTGGTTTTTCCTGCAATTCTTGACATTTTTTGTCCTTCAGAAAGCTTTTTCTAAAAGGCTTGTGAACTGGTGGTCTTGTGGTGGAAACACTAAGTGTCAGTGCTATCACATGTTACCATGACTGGGAGAGAGTACTTGAAAAACCGTAGGATATTGTGAATACCCCATAGGGTGATTATTTTCATTCCTATAGAACTTCCCTAAAATTAGCTAATAATGGTAAGACTATTTGCCTAAATTAAGATCTATTTAAAACTTACTGTGTGTGAGCGTTCAAGTATCAATCAATCATGAATGCTGCACCTGTGTGGCAGCATAATTGGATAAATGGATGTGACAGATGGTGGGGTTTGATGCGTGAAGACTGTGGGAAAAGCTGTGCGAATCCAGCCAGTTTCAGGAGCTGTTGAGGAGATGTTTCATGGCAGCAGGTTGTGTGACTACTGAGAGCTGGGAATAATAGACTAAAAGAGAGAAGAGAAATTGTTTCTGGAAGCCTTGACCATGTAAGATATAATGGGTTGCTCATTGATAAGGAATTTTTTGGTATGAAGTATTCTGACTCTGGAAATTGCCTAAATGTTCACGAATACTCAGGATGAAGTTTTGGTTATTACAGTAAATTGTTTCAGAAATGTTGGGTTTCTGAGGGGGAGAGGAAGAAAGGAGCAGCAAAATATGTCTTTGAAAAAGTTAAAATTTGCTGTTGGAACGAGAGGATCAATGTACAATAAATATTAATTTGCAGTGTCAGATCAGGTGAAAGACCAAGGGCTTGACAGTCAATCTTAGGACATTTAATTTTATACTTCCTTCAGAAAGACTTTTTTCCCCTTATCTTTGAGATAAGGGGACAAAACCCAATTATATTAATTCCAAGTATAGAAATACCTCAAAGTATGCAGACAGTTCTGTTTCAGTTCAGTAACCTCATACAACTATATGAATTTTGATTATTGTTTTTTTCCACAAGAACTTAACTGACTTCAATAAGCTTGCCCCCAACCTCTCAAAACCAAATAATGTACCCAAAATTTACCCGGATACTTTTTAATTAAGAATAAAACCCATCCATGTATGATTTCTGCATCTGGGTTATCTGCAGTGACTTAGCAATGGTTGGTGTAGGTTTGTATTTCACTTTGAAAAATCAAGTTATAAATGCTGTGTAGGTCTTCAGTTTAGTGAGAAAATCCCTGTTTTCAAACCTTGGCTGTTAAAATTAGGGGGTACAAACCTGTGTGCAAACTAATCCCTCCTGCCCTTTAGGTATGAAAAAAGATGATAATATTCTGGGCATGTTATGGAAATTCGGTGTTGTGGCCTCTGTGAGATATTTTAGGGTAGCTTTACTTCTGTTACAGGCCTCTAATGTTTGAGCAGTCTCATGCTTCTTATTTGCCAGTCTTTACCTTCTGGGATTAAAAATACTGTGTTTGACACACCCTTTAGAAATTAGGAATTTACAGAGAAGATTTTGTGCCAGTGCCATCTCTGTAGTAAACTAACAGTGATCTATCCTAGTAATCAAGCTGATGAAGTGGCTCAGTCTACGCTTGTCTTTGAATGTGACTAGTTTGCACGTCCTGGTGACTAATATTTATAATTTCATATCCATATCTCCTCATAAATTCAGTTTTCTGGATTATCAGTGCTCATAAAGTGAAGCAACTTCATTCCAGTAGTGGGCATATTCTCCCGAAGGATCACAGGAGGAAGCTGGTCCTTTAAAGGCTGCTTGTACTTAATGGTAAAAATCAAAATGCTTGAATGGCTTTATACAAAAAAACTGAGCTAATATGGCAAGACCTCCTTAAAAAGGCTATAAAGGCAAAAGTAGTTGCAAAGTTTACATTGTCAGAAGGCATACTTTGAAGAATCCCAGCTGACATTTGTGCCAGACTTTTTCCTGGTACCTCTGGGCTAAATAGCTTATTGTTTCTCTTTGAACTGACAGATTGGGGTTTGGGTTTTTGCTTGTGTTGTATTTTTTTGTTTGTTTGTTTGTGGGTTTTTTTTAAGCCAGAAGTGTCTTTCTTATGGGATAAGCACATGTTGTATACAAATTATACCACTTTTCTTATGTTTTAATTTAAGTCCATCTAAATGAGGAGGGTAAACAACCTATAATTATTGCTTATCTAACTTTACCTACTTCTTCCTCAGAAAAGGTTTTGAGGTTCTCTCAAGGCTGCAAAACTGTTTCTTACATGAGCAGTGTGGTTTGATTGCCTGTGAATGCAAGAAATCAAAGATGATTAGAGACATGGCACTAGTAGTTGACTGGCCATAACTATTTCTTCACTTTTTGGGATTTTTTTTTTTTGAAAATTTTGAAGTGTTTCTCTCTATCTAGATATAGAATTGGATGTGCACATATAAGTGGAAGTCTTTGGGGGAACTGTGGGCTACCAAACTATAATTCAGTTCTGTTATGGTTTTTTTTCTTGTGCTCAAATCATGCCAGCATTACATTAATTCTGATAAATACCCTTGGTAGAAAAGCAAGGAACTATTTATATAACTTTAAATGTCATAATAAGATTTAAGAGACAGCTCACTTTCGGAATTTCGTTGTTAGAGTTAAGACTTAATTACAGTCTTCGAATGAAAATTCTGTAGAAGTGATCTTACACCGTTTTTTAACAGGAACTGGAAATAAAGAAAATGGCTAAGACTGGTAACAAAGAAGCCTGTAAAGTGCTGGCAAAACAGCTTGTGCAGCTGAGGAAGCAGAAAAATCGGACATACGCTGTCAGCTCTAAAGTCACTTCTATGTCGACTCAAACGAAGGTCATGAACTCTCAGATGAAGATGGCAGGAGCTATGTCAACTACAGCCAAAGTAAGGCATTACAAGACATTCTTTCACATTAAAATGCAGCACATGGTTGCAAAAATTGTGTTGCTTTGTGTAAGATAATTGAAAGGGTAGAACTTACTGCCTACTGCCCGAAATGGTCTTGAGGATTCAGTAGAGAAGTGTAATTTTATTTATAGTGTTGAATTTCTGCTTAGTCAGTCCAGCCACTTACCGCCTATCCAAGCATATTTTATTGGGTTAGATGTCTGTCAAATGTTTACATGGTAAAAATAAACTAATGCCAGTGAAAGAACTCTTTTAGTACATAAAAAAACACACCACACCATGCTGCTACAATGTCTTTCCTGTATATATTGTCACAAGCAGTTTTTACTGGGGAAAAAGTAGGGCATGCTTCATCTAGAAATCAAGGCAGTGTGTCACAATAGCTTTATGGCTTGGGCAAGAAGTAGGTTATTGCTTTGGATCTGAAGTTCCTAAAGAAATCTAATCTGGAGTTCTCTATCATTCTCTCTGTGCTCTCTAAGGAAACAGTATTCCATTAAGTTTTCTCACAAATCTCATCTCATAAAGGAGCGTGAAAAATCTCAGTTATCTGGGTTGCTTGGGAACTTTTCCCTGTTTCCCTGAATTGATACAGAGGGATTTTGCTTTTGGCAAGGAGGATTGTTCAGCCTGAGGTGTAGGAAGCAGAATTAGAGTTCAGCAGTGCAGAACCAACTTTTGCTTTTATCCCAGTCCAGTTAAACACAGCAATGCCAATCCCAGCCCTTCAGTGGTACAAAGTCGTGGCTCTGTAGCAAACTTACACAGGGGACTTGTCTGACCGATCAGGTTCAACAGCTGACACAGTATTCCTGCAGCAGCGTTCATGTGAACAAGCTGGTCCTGCTTTTTTAATTATTACGTGGTTGGCTTGTTTTTATCTGTGATATCTCTTGAATTAAGTTTCTCCAAACCAAAGTGTCACTAGATTACTTATCAAGTCAGTGGGAAAAAAAAACCACCAAACAACAAAAATATTAAAATAAATTACCCAGCATCCAGAAAAATTATGATTTTTGAAACACAGCAGGTACTTCTACAAACTTGTTTGTGTAATGATATTGAAGGCCTTAATTCTGTTGGTCGCTTTTAAAGTCAATATTTTGCCTTATCAACTGAGAAGCTCAAAGAATTGTTTATACGATAAAACTACCAGTGAAAATACACGAGATCAATTGTCTCAACAATAAGGCAAATGTATGAATGCAAAGATTTCAAAGTATTTTCAGTATACTTTTTAGCATGGATGGCACTAACTTTGGACATAAGTACTAAGTTCATTTAAGTTGCCTGTTTCTTTTCATCATGCATCCAACCTTTATTTTCTGAAGATAAATAAACTCTGTATCAGTGCAGATATTTTTGATGTCCTCTAGTGGTGGGTCAAAGGAACGTTCCTTTCTGAATTAGAACCTGCAGCCATTTACTTCTTTAAAGTGTGTAGCCTTCAGGTTAGTAAATATTCTCCTGTTTTTCTCATTCAGATCAGGGGATTTTTAACTAATATAAGGCCAGGAGGGGGTCATGGTGCAAGAAAGATGCAGACATTTAAAAGTATATCTATTAGGGTAGTAGGTGGCAATATTTCTTACTACGTGCAGACTGTACTATTGATCTGTGATGCATCTACAGTTCTCATGGGATGTAAAGAGACAGGGAAAGAGAAATTTGGAATTGCAGTGATTTTGTTAGAAAACTCTTATTCCTTCTAAATGAATATATTGGTATTTCACAATGTCTCGTTGTATGATTAAGAGTTTTTTCCATATCAATAGACAATGCAAGCAGTTAATAAGAAAATGGATCCACAAAAGACACTACAAACTATGCAGAATTTCCAGAAGGAGAACATGAAGATGGAAATGACTGAAGAAATGAGTAAGTTCTGCACTGTAGGGAACAGGTGGCTGCTCTTAGAAGGGTATAGCCAGTCTGGAAATACTGATACTTGAAGTTTTATTTCTAAAGCTAATGAGACTGACAGCAAAAGTGAGGAGCAAACAAAATAATGGATTTCTGAGCAGTTAGACTGAGTCTCAGGATTTTTAAAAGCTCTAGGTATTAAATCTAGGGTCTGTTCCTTCCTATCTTCCTGCAAAACATTCGCCATACTTTTAGAAAGAATATACTGGAAGGGAAGAGGGTTTGAAACCAGGTCAAAACATTGTTTGAATAACTGGTGGGGGGACTCTGTAGCTGATAGTTCTGCACATGCTTTTTTTTCTGTGACTGGGCACTTCATTTAGATATTATTGATAACCTCAGCCTCACCTGCACAGGGGTATGGTTTGGTTTTGTCTCCTGTTTTTTATTTTAAGCCACAAGACAACTTCCTGGGGAGACAGCAGGTTTCTTGTGCCTGAGTGCATGTGTCCACTGTCAACTAAATGATACCAAACTTCGTGGTGTTGCTGGCACAGTCTCCTCCCTGTCCTAATCCTTGCCGCTGTGTTGGTCATACTAAGTGGTGTGGACTCAAACCAGTACTGTTGACCAAGATGTGAATACCTCAACTTCACAGAAAAGTTATCTGAGTAGTTAAAAACTTTGCAACTTGGAGGAAGAAGAGGAAAAGGGTTTTTATGAAACTGTAGAAGATGTTTTTCAAAATTGTTAAAATCTAGTGTGTGTGTGTGGGGGGATATACAGCAGCCAAAATATTTTGGTGGAACTAATTGTTTTTATAAATGCCTTACCCTGTTGTTTCCCTGGCTGTGCTCAGAGGCTTCGTGAGGCAGAGGTAAGAGAGCCTCTCCAGTGTCCAGCTGCTTCCTGTTGGTGTCTTACACAGTGCTGTTACTACTGGGAGTGGTACTACCAGTGGTATTGCTACTATGCAGTGGTAGTACTGTGTTCTGGGAGGGCAGAAAGATGATACTAGGTTATGTTAGTTACATTTTTGCTTAATGTGGATTTTTTTTTCTTTCTTCTAAGTTAATGATACTCTGGATGATATTTTTGATGCTTCTGATGAAGAGGAAGAAAGCCAAGATATTGTTAATCAAGTGCTTGATGAGATTGGAATTGAAATCTCTGGCAAGGTATGGCTATTTTTACTCAGTTCATGTGGGTTTTAAATATTCTATTCTAGCGGCCTTCACTTTACAGTTTTATTCTAGAAGTCAGCTTGTCATAAAGTGTATTATTATCCTGACTAAAGAAAACTTTGTCTTCTTCTAGATGGCCAAAGCTCCCTCAGCTGCCAGAGGTTTACCATCTGCATCAACATCAAAAGCTGCCACCATATCAGATGAAGAGATTGAACGACAGCTCAAAGCTTTGGGAGTGGATTAGCTTGATGGCAATTTAGAGCCTGCCTTCTAATTATTCAGCTGTAGACAGATGCACAAAGTGCAAATACTCTTTCAGTGCAACTGATTTCTAGGAAAACTCTGAAGCTTCAGAAAGGACAACTTGAAGTTGGTACTGGAGGAAGGAGAAGTGGAGGATGTATTAAATCAATTCACAGAGAGAAGTACCTTTGGTATGTTCATTGCATGGACTCTGACTCTGGATCAACGAGGGGTGTAGTTCTAATGATAAATTCATTTATACCCCATCCAAATCTGTCCTCCAAATTCAAAGTTTTCTTCTATCTCAGTTCCTGATATCTCTCTAGAACTGGCTGTTCTGTGGCTGGTGATGCCACCTCCTAGGACAGCACCTGTGTAAGATTTATCATTTTTACAAAACTATCCCTATAGAAACATTCTTTGTCATTTTAGCACAAATAAAAATTCACCTTTGCTCTTTATTAGAAACTATTTTTTCCATGAGAAATAGCCTTGAAAGTCTAGCAAATTTAAGCAGAAGGAAAAAGCATTTTATATAATTCTTTCAAATTCCTGTAGCACCTTTTGAGTTGATTAAATAATAGCTGATTATTCTTCTTACCGGAAGGGAAGGATATGCTCCTTGTGCAGGTAATTTTTCTGGAAGAGGATTTACGTTTGTTAGTGAACTTTGTTGCATGAAAGGCACTGATTGAACTCCATTGTACTGTAACATAGCTGGTTTCAACAGAATTGCTGTGCCTTTATGTACATAAATCTTGTACCTTTGTGATTTTCTTTCAGAATGAGTTTTTGAGAGGTGAGTAAACTTGTAATTAGGATTAAAAAAAAAATACTATGGTGAGACCTCTCTGTGCACCTGATGGGACTCAGTGCTGGAGCTGAGAAATGCACTTGTTCAAAAAATGCAACTTGTGCACTTGCAAAAAGGACATTTGCCTGAAGCAACATTTGTATATATTTTACAGTATTTCTTAATGGAAGATAACTGTGCATAACTGTATTGTTTGCTAAGAAGCAATTGATCACATTGATAAGCTAAATTAAGTTTTAGTTTTGAGAACACTTTTGGATCATAAATGATAATTCCTTGTCTAAACACTATAATAAAAGTGTTCTGGTTCCGTGAAGGTTTTTCTATGGTCTCTGAACTGCATCAGCATGATTCTAGCTTTAAGTGGAATATGCACTGGGCTAATGAAATAAGAACTGTTGATACTTGAAGTAAGATGACAAAGCCTGAGTGTGCAGTTCCCAGTTATGACTTCCCAGATATTCCTCAGCCCTGACTCTGCTGGAGGTTATTTGCCCCTCAGTTGTGCTGATTTAGAGGGGCTGTTCACTGAAGAGACATAACAATCATCTTGGCTTTAAAAAGAGAAAAGCAAAATACCTCCTGATAGCAAAACCAGGATAATTGTGGGGGGACAAACTTCATATGGAGACTTTGCTGCTAGAGAAACTGTAGCAGGAAACCTCAGTGAATCTACTGTTGTCACACCACCTGCTGTTTAGGATTGAAGTCAGCAGAGAAAGAAGATTCATGGGAGAGCCTTCTTGGGGTTTTGGGCATGGAAATACAGATGTTCTTACTCTTTCAAGAAAATAATGGACAAGCTCTGAATTTGTCAGGTAGTGGGTAGGAATGTGGGTAGGAATGTGTAAGTTAATATATTTCATATATCCAATACAAGGTGAATTTTTTTTACAAGTTATTTTGTAAAAATCTAATAAAAGGATTTTTATTCCACAATGACTTTGTCCTCTGTAGGGTTAGTCTTACACAACTGTCCCTTAGCAGGCTTTCTGTGTACTCCTGTGAGCTCTGATAAATACTTCTTTGACTTGAACCATAAAGAACCATAAAATTTATAACAGTTGCTTTTGGACCTTTGTCTTAAACTGAGCATTCAGTAAAGACTTTTCCAAGTTTACATTCCCTGGTCTGTAACTGGGTGCCCAGGTGCTGCTCTTAAGCAGAGAAGGAGAAGTGATAACGTGAATGTTACTGATTGATTGTAGTTCAGTTGAACACCAAGGCTTATGTCCTTTCTGAGTGAGGTGTGCACTTTATCCTTTTAATAACGGTCAAAATCAGGCATAATTCTATTCTGAGTTTTTTCTCTACAGGTCTTTGATGAACAGGAATAAAGGTGTTGCTTTTTAGAGTCATTAGGGCTGCTACTACAAATTCTGTTCGAATCACTCTCAGCAGACAAAAAAAAGCCAACCAACAACCACTCAATCCTTAAACTCCTTTATCCTTGCTAAAACTCCCTAATAGAAAGTCCTTCATCCAAGAACAGCGGCACAGTTGTGCACACACCTAAGAGTGGCTCCCCTGGGGCAGACCAAGGTCCATCTCACCCAGAACCCCACTCCACAAATGCCCAGGAGCGATGCCCGGGAAAACAACAAGAACATGATGAGCATAAATGACACTTTCTCCGCAAATACTCTTCCAACTTCCCAACTATTTTCAACATAGAGCACTTCCAGAGCCTTATAGAAGTTCGACACACAACAGTTTTGAGTCTCTTTCCACCTGAGGACTTGTCCATGTCAGTACACTTCTGGCACCCACCTGTTTTAGTAGAGAAGTTCCCCAGATTTTTTTTTTCCCAGCCACGTTAAGAACCACCACTTTTTTTTTTTTTTTTTTTTTTAAATTAAGCTTCTTCCCAGCTTCACATATTTACTCCTGGTCCCTACATTAGGCAAGATGGTGAACAGCCTGCCTCCATCCAGCCTTTCAGTACTGCTCGTAGTTCAGGAGACATCTGTAACATCCAGTGCACACATTAAATCTAGCAGACAGTCAGTGGTTTCAGCAGTTACTCACCTTACCTTTGATCAGCATCTTGGCCTTTACTATGTCTGTTGTGTCCTTCCAATGAGGGGACACGGAGACAAGTGAACACATATTTGTAAGTTGTGATAACACCTTTCCCTGCCCTCTTTTGTGGTTTTCACACCCTGCCTGAAGTCTCCATGGGAAGAGCAATTAAAAAAAAAACAAAACAAACCCACACACAAATATCTCAAAGAAAAATAGTACAACCCATCTTAGTTGAATGACCAACTAAACTCTTGCAGGTTTATAGAGTTACCCCTCAGAAATCTCATCTAGGGTGGGTTTTTTCCCCCCAGTCAAGAGTGATTGATGGCAATTAAGGTGTTCCTACAGAAAAAAAAATGCAGTGCCACTTTCTGTAAGTAATGGCTGCAGCAGTTGAAATTTATTTCATCCGACCTTTCTTCTTTAAACAATTCTGCTCTAATTTCTTTATATTTCCGTGTTTAAATGGTGGCTGCTTCCCCCACTTGGCCTTTTGTAATTCTTTTGCAAGAAAATGGCCTTAGATATCACCTTTCATTTTCTTTTTCTCTGTTTCTACAGTTAGCCTTCACTTCTCCTAGGACAAGAAACCACTGTGTTATGGTAAGGATGCTTTTGAATTAACTGTTACAGCAGGCTGAAATGCACAAGTACACAGCTAAAAAGGGTAGGGTGTCACCAAAACAGAACTACAAACCGTTACCTAGAGTGCCAGCTGTAGAAGAATACTTTATTGGGCTGGGAGCTTGGGAAATACAGGCTTACACAGCATTTCTAAGAAGCCTTTTTATAATTAAGAAAATAATTTAGAACATAAATAAAGTTTAGCTATATCAGGTAGTATTTTCAACATACATGACATTAGACCACATAACATGAAAGGTACACAGATACATACTACCACCTTTGCTGAGGGCTAATCTTCTCAACTGCATTTATCTTTCAGGCTCTTGGGAAGTCCATGTTCTGTTGATACACGTGGTGGATAAAGTCTCCTGCTTGGCCTTTCTCTGCTGTAGTGGGTGAGCTATACTAGTGATGAGAACAGCCTGAAGACAGGACAGAGCGCAGTTCCTCCCCTCTGAGTTATTACATTGAAGTCCTCTTCTAAATTAAGTGGTGCATTCATCCATAAAAAGGTATTTTTTTAAAAATCCAGGAGCCTGATTTCCATAGCTGAACATGCCCATGGTCACTGTAATAAGCATCAGAGGTGATTTAACATTCACTAGAGAGAGAACGAGCACTTAACTTGTACACGCTGCTTCTAAGAGGTCTTGAACATTAAACCCCTTTTGCTTTCTGGAGGCCTATTATCTAGATGTTTTCTAAATCATCAGGTCTGGTTTATGGAAAAATAAAATGTATGTGGCCACTACTACTCGCATGTACTCACTTAATTTCAGTCCTGGGAAAACAGTCAGAAGTACATAAGTGGTAATGGGCTAATTCCAATAGCAATGAGCAGGGCTGATGAGATGGCTGGATAATCTATCCCTGGTGAGTGCTAGAGCCATTAATTCAGTTTTCTCAGTGCCTGTCTGATAGGTGGAGCTCTGGCACTGGTATTTTTTTCCCCGGGTTATCTCTCTAGGCTGCAGGATGACAAATATGGGATTATTTTCAATTAGCAGGCTTTAAAAGAGTGGGAATGTGTAGTGCAATAAATGCTTTGTTTGGATACTTACTTCAGTGGGTTTTTTAGCTTAAAACACTATCTCTGGTATAAGTATGTCTATACATGGTTTTAATCAGAAAAAAGTACAATGCAGAGAAAGGCCAACATAATAAACCCCTTGATAATTATTTTTTTCCTCTCAGGTCACAAAGTCTTAAGGTAAGGTAAATTGTATTCCCAGTTTTATAGCTAAAGCTATCCAAACCAAATTTCAAGGCACATAACGACTTAGCAAGACTTATCTTTGATAATAAGTATTAAAAAAGTCACTTCTACTTGCTACCCTTTTAAGGCAGTCAAATGCTATGCTGAGACAGAGCTCAGAGTAGGAACAGTGTTGACACCTCTGCACTAGTAAACTTACCCTACCATAAGTAATGACGGCAATTATGGCTTTAAATATACATTGTAGGATTTAAAATTAGGTCCTCCACAACACACTGCATCTGAAGCTGCCTAGAGAAACAAGTAATTTACTGATTCTTCTCTTTCTTTTTCTTTTTTTTTCTTTTTTTTTTAATTTTTTTTCTTTTCCTTTTTTTCTTTTTGAAACAACATAATATTTACAATCTTTACAAAAAGCAAAACAGAAATCCACATCTATACATGGAAAAGCTTTACCGGCATTCATGGTGCTCCTTGATAATAGAACTGAAGGTGTTCTGATGTAAACTCGTCTTAACTCTTTTTTCCCTTTGTCTTCTGTTGCAAAACCAAACTCTTACAACTTCTTTCTCAAGGTTGAGCCCCTCGGCCATCCTCATAATTTCTTGAGAGGAAGGTTTGCTTTGTTCTCCAAAGTGCCTCTCTAGGGCCTCTTTGGCAGCGATACTGGATAAAGGGATAAAATGCCACCTTTAGAAATGTTTCTGTGCATTCAGGCTTTCACTGCTAGTTCAGGAGAAGGGTCAAGGGACAGCACTGAAGGCAGTGACTTGGTTTGCTTCCTCTTTTTACATATAAAGGAAACCCAGAGCACTGAAAGTACACTATAGTTCTGACATCTGACATGAGCAGCGTGACATCATGCAGAATTTCAGCACAGAGGAATTAAAAGGCAAAACTAGCATGAAGTTCCATGCAATTTCAGTGTTAATTATGAAATATCTGTGCTTCTTGATGCTGTTTAGGAGATACAACTATTAATTAGTCATAAACGAGGGCAGAGGAATTAGAACAGTCTGCTCCAGTCACAGCAGGGCCGTAGGGGTCAGCAAATGCACATCAGTGGTGTTATGTCGTTGTATCAAATCATTTGGGTTTACAAATGGGAAGATTTGGGAAAAGTTGTGTGCTGTATCAAATTCTGCATCTCACTGTGTTGCAGAGAGAGCACTAGAGTGTCACAGAGATTATGGCAAGGTGTTTCAGCAATCACCACACTTTCCAAAAGTCTGCCTTAACCTATTCCTCAGAGTCAGCAGCGACAAAAGTTGAGTGGTCCACTAAAGAAAATAATTTAATACTGTTAATTTTTCTTATTTCCAGATAGAATTTGCTTCCAATTTTTGTTACATATTCTCAGAAAACACAGAGCATCTGTGACATGCTTTTGTGCCACTGGGACGCACCCAGAACAGCTTCAGCAGCAGCTGTAATTTCTTTGGACACAAGAGGGCACTTCATGCATTATTCTGAAAGGGAGGTGATGATATTTCTGCTGCAAAAATACACACGCTGTCTGCTGGAGTTCTACTTATTTCATTACTTCATGTGTGTTATGCTGTTGGTCTCACATTTCCATGTCAACTTTGCAACACTTACTAGAGTTACAAACAATATCTAATTAATAGCATGGTCTTCTGCACACACAGAACCACAGAAGCATCATTATTTTTGACCAACAGCTTCTAAGGCTTTGAGCAAAGTATATAATAAAATAATTTCCACAAATTCAAATTAAGTAGTTTTTGCTCTGGGTATGACTAATCTAATTTAGTTATTGGGGCTTTTGTTTTAGCATTAGTTAGCCTTCAAACATCCACTAAAAATGGCTAACAGTAAGGCTCCAGAATTCATGGAAAACCCATCTCCTTGATTAGTTTCATGTCTTTAAACTGAGGTCCTCTATGCCTTCAAAGGAGTAATTAATATTTTCTTACTATATGGGATTTAGTCCCGAACTTCTCAATTATCTGTGTCCTTGACAACCTGCCAGATTAGATGCTCCCACTGCAGCAGGGTTACATGTAAAAGCAGGAATAATTTAAAAAATGCTTAATATGAGGACTGATTTTATCAACAGCTTTTAAGACCAGACCTCAAGTTTCTGGTAAATTTATTTGTGGGGTTTTTTTATTGTTTCACAATTTATATTTATTTTATTTTCTAATTTATATTTTATTATATATATTCATATAAAACTTAATTTATATGTATTTATGATACCAAAATAATGCAATTTATTTTGGTGTAATGTAGAATCTCCCAAAATGAAAACAAGATGCTCTGATACCTTGCTGTATAGATATAATGAAATTTTGAGAGATCTGGAATAAAATACCTTTTCGTACTTTAGTATGTTGTTGAAAAAAGAAGTTTTTGATTGGGAAAAATAATATCTTTGGAATAATTTGGGTTCTGGAGGGTTATGCTGTTATTTTCCACTGGCATTTTTCCAAATACTAAAACTTTTAGAAGCAGATAAATGCAGGTATTCATTAATAGAAAATAACACTTCCATTTTGAACAGAAGAAAATGCATCTTAGCCAAAGTGGTTTTCCAACCTGTGAAGCCCTAAATATTTATTACCTTATGGTGGTTCTGCGCTTCCTCTTCCGCTCATTCACTCCAACTTTTTCATTGTATAAAGCTGTATTAAAACAAATAAATAAATAAATAAATTAAAAAAAAGAAAAAAAAAAAAAAAAAAAAAAAAAAAAAAAAAAAAAAAGAAAAAAAAAAGGAAACAAAACCTGGCTGTTACATTCTACAGGGAATGGAAAACAAACAGAATCACCTCCAGAACAAACACCAGAACAAAGTCTTTGAAGAGAGAAGAAAGCATAACAGAAAATGTTGCTGAATGAGAGGAGCACCACACGCAGGATCTTTTTGTTGTGTAGGATGGTTGATCGCTGTTTTATCTCCAGATATAAATAGTTAAAAGCAAAAATGGCGTGGCACCAGTAAAGATGCAAACAGCACTGGCTGTGTGCCTATACACCTGAGGAGCAGTATTTATCCCTTCCTTGGACATACCTTGTTCCTCCTGCCCTTTGGGGCACGGTCTAGGGAGATGGAGTCTGTTTCCTTACTATCTCACTCTCCAGCTTTGACCCCCTACCCCATTTATTCATCTGCCTTGTCCTCCCCACCTTCTGATGGACAAGTCTCTGTTCTGTTCTCAGAAGCCGCTGTCTGCAAACATGATCCTGCCTCAGTCACTCAGCAGCTGCTACCACAGCCCGTCACCAGTGATCATTGCGATGTGGTGGCCGCAATAGCAGAGCCTCTGGTTTCCAGCACAGTTACAGGGGAAGGAAGCCTTTGGTTCAAAGGAAACTGAAGTGTGTGGCAAAACAGCAACGTTTCCTGCTGTTGAATACAATGCCAAATCCAAAAAGTAGCATTAAGATCACCTTCCCTTTGCTCAGCAAGTGCTGCCTGGTGGTCATGCTTTCGCTACCGCCTCCAGGCTTGCTGCTTCTCAACACTGGTAATTCATCCAGCTGAAAGGGTTGTTCTCAAAGGCAACTACTTCCTTTAAGTCAGCCAGCCTGTCCTAAAGTACTCTTTGCCCAACGAGCACTATGACTCTTCCTGCGACTGGAAATTAACGGGGCAAAAGAAAGAGCATTTTAGGTTACAACAGAAAACTATGCCATGCTATTCTTCTTCAGGGTTTAAAGATCACTGCTCCAGCTGAACTCAAATCCTTTTCCCCCATGGCCATATCTCATATGCCTAAGGTCAGAAGGAAGACTCCTTTACTAATGAAAAATCCCTGCTGCTAAAGGGGTTGTCCTGCAGATCCTAATAATATGCTACAGGACTGGGGCTAGCTTGCTGGGATGGGACTGAAAGAAGTTTCTCCCAGCACCAAGTTTCTCCCATCACCAAGTGATGTTTCTGCTATTCTGTACCCTTCATACATTTCAGTTTGCCCCTCCTTGCTCACCCCAAAAAAATAACTAAAATTTAATACAAGTACACCTTAGCACCTAAATCTGGTTAAAAAAAAAAACCCTTTAGGCTATGGACTACACATACTGGTCCTTGGGCATATATATGGCATTCCGATTCAAATGCAAATCAAAATGTAGAGGATTTCAGTTCTCTACCTCCTACTTGTTCTGCTTCCTCCAGCCACTTGGACAGTATGGATTTCAGTTTGCAGGCGTTCTTGAAGCTCAGCTGCAAGTTTTCAAATCGGCAAATGGTTGTTTGGCTGAACT